GAGGTTCACAAGATTCGATAGTGTCTTAATGCAATCTCTTTTGAGATAGAAAAGACAGAAGCGAGCGGAGACACATGGGAACCTCATACCACCAAGAGAGCAGTGCTGGGAGCAGAGCGCGTCCTTTGGAACTTTGGTTCCTGTGCAGAGAAGCTCCCAGACCAAGGAAAGACTGATGCATCACAAAGACATTTCTTCCAGAGCTGACAGAGAGGGAAAGCCTTCTCCTGGAGCTGATGCCCTGAATTTGGACTTCTAGCCTACTGGAGTATGAGAGAATAAATTTCTCTTGTTCAAAGCCATCCACTTCTGGTATTCCTGTTAGAGCAGCACTAGATGACTAAGACATAAGCATACAGAAAAGATACTTCTACTTGTTGGTTATAAATTGGTCATTTCTAGATGTCAAACTTTTGGAATGACTAGAAAGTAGAATCATGGTGAATGATTCCAGAGAAGTCAAATAGATTTGACATAACCTCACAAATATACGGAGGTAAAGATTTACCTCACTATAAAATCTAATTTAAGTCAAGAAATAAAAAGTAGCCCAACTTGGACTCTCTCAAATATAATTGGGCAACCTCATCCCTGTTCCCCCTTCCACTCTCCTCTTTTCAGTCTGATGACTAAACAGAATAAGTGAAAGAAATACGAAAAAACACTCTCACTGATTAAGAAACACTATGTAAGACAGAGATACCAGGAATCTCAGCACTGCTGGAGTAAAGCCAACTCTCAGTCATTATTGGGTAGGAAAAGATAATAAAAAACATAAAATCTCAGAGAATTTGCATACTTAATTTTAACCAACACTTTTAACTCTCTTTCTACCAAACTGTTAAGAACATGTGACAAGGTTAAGAAAATAGAGACAAGGCCTCTATCTCACTAAAGGTAAAAAGCTTGCCATTACATTACAACCCAAGAGGCATTTGTCAGGGTTTCTATACACAGTTCAAATTGGACTAGGAGAAGGTATATTCAATCTCTCTGTGACTCAGTTAAATTATCTTTTATGACTACAGTTAAAACTAATCAAAATACTATCTAATTTGGTTTAACAGCATTTTTTTTTAATATTTACTTTTTTATTTTCACTTCCTGCATCTTGAAATTTTCAAAAATATTTTTTAAATTTTTTTAATTTTTCCCATACAAAAATTTATACATACATTGCTATGTGACTCCAATTGCTCTCCCTGCACTGTGACAGCACACTCCTCCCCTCCACCCGATTCTCCATTTCCACCCAACCAGCTCCTAACCCTCTCTGCCCTCCCATCTCACCGCCAGACAGAAGCTGCCCGTTTAGTCTCTTATATCTACTTGAGCTAAGAGGCACACTCCTCATGAGTAGCACTTTATGTCCCACAGTCCAGTCCAATCCCTGTCTGAAGAGTTGGCCTCAGAAACTGTTTTAGTTCTAGGCTGATAGAGAATCCAGGGGCCGTGCTTTCCGGGCTCCTCCAGTCTTAGTCAGACCCTTAAGTCTGGTCTTCTTACTACAATTTGAGTTCTGCACCCCACCTTTCTCCTGCTCCATCCGGGACTCTCTGTTCTGTTCCGTCAGGGTGGTCATTGGTGGTAGCCAGGCACCATCTAGTTCTTTTGGTCTCAGGCTGATGAAGTCTCTGGTGTATGTGGCCCTTCCTGTCTCTTGGGCTAATACTTCCCTTGTGTCTTTGGTGTTCTTCATTCTTTACTCCAGGTGGCTGGGACCAATTGATGCATCTTAGATGGCCATTTGCAAGCTTTTAAGACCCCAGACACCACTCACCAAAGTAGGATGCAGAACATTTTCTTAATAAGCTTTGTTATACCAATTGACCTAGATGTCCCCTGAAAGCATGGTTCCCAGACCCCACCACTGCTACTCTCTCCCTCAAAGTGTTTGACTGTATTCAGGAAACTTCTTAGCTTTGGTTTAGTCCAGTTGTGCTGACTTCACCTGTAGTGTGTCCTGTCCTTCCCTTCACCTAAGATAATTCTTATGTACTATCTAGTTAGTAAATAACCCTCACCCTCCCTCCCCACCCTCGTAACCATCAAAGAATGTTTTCTTCTGTCTTTAAACCTTTTCTTGAGTTCTTATAATAGTCATCTTATACAATATTTGTCCTTCTGTGACTGACTAAATTCACTCAGCATAATGACCTCCAGCTTTCTCCAAATTATAAGATTTAACAGCATTTTTAATGGCACACATCTACATAAGATCAATGATAAGAAATTCATACCTGAACTCCCCATGATAGAACTTCCGCAAGGCTTCTGGGAAGGAATGTGTATATCGGACAGGCAGACATAAATGACCCTCAGACCTTTATTTTAAAAGGAATTTTGTGTGATGTAAAGGAAAAAAGAAGAGGGTGAGAGGAAAAAGAAACATTTAATTCAAGCTACAAAAATTAGATATCAATTTTCTACTCTATACATCATTTTTGTGCCCCCAAATTGTCTACTTTTAACAACTAGAAAAAAAAAGCCCATATAGAAATATTAGACTCTATTCAGCTTTAAAGTGATAATACACAATAATACTTAAGATTCTACCTTATAACGAAATTAAATATATTAGCAAATCTGCCACTTATTGATTATCCGTAAAGTTACCTAATGGTATAGTTTTAACCTTTTAAATTATTTAACTACTAACTTTGGGAAAGTTACTTTAGCATCAAATTCATCTCTAAAATGGTGATAAAGCTACCAATCTGAAACGGTTATTCTGAGGAATCAAACTATTTATGTAAAAATGTTCTGAATGATAAACTCTTTTTAAATGTTATTTAAGGTATCCCAAGTCACTAAAACAGAACTGAGAGAGCATATGCCTAAGTAATCCTTCATTTATTAAAAAAAATATGAGGGTGAATTCCCTCAGAGTTCACAGCCCGATGTGGAAGACAGAAATAAATCCAAATAATCACAAATTACAAGGTGGTAAGACTGTCTACAGGTTGTTGCAGGAAGATGATAGTATATGGTACCTAAAGTGAGAAAATGTATCAAGAAAGCTCAATCATAATTATTCACATGATGTTTCAATCTTCAAGGAAAGGCTGAGGGTAGGATTAGCAGACAAACTCTTGCTAATAAGGATAAGTTAACTTGTAAGTGTGAAGAGTAGAGAAAAAGATTTTTACAAAGCTGTGTCAGGCAATAGTTTCTTTCTCTTAGGGAATCAACAATGACGTTAAGAAAAGGCATAGGCCTAATTATTTTATATTCACAGAAATACTTTACATAGTGCTAAGCATCAATAGTCATTTGATAAAACAATACTTATTGAGGTCCACTGCAGGTCCTAAACATTCTGGAGAGAAAGATCTCTCATGAGTTTATATTCCGATGTTACCTAGGGCTACAGGCATCTAAAGGCTTGTACTTGGGCTACAGGATTCCTTTCCAAGGTGGCTCATTCACATGGTTGGCAAACTGGTGCCGGACCTTGGAGGAAGCCTCAATTCCTCTTCCTGTGACTCTCTCCACAAGGTTGCCTGGATGTTCTCACAAGGTGGCTGACTTCCCCAAAAATTACCAATCCAACACACCAAAAAGAAACCGCAATACCTTCTATGACCTGGCCTTGGAAGCCAAACACCGCCATATCATATTCTATTAGTGATACAGGCCAATTCTTAACGAACATGGGGGAGGAGGACCACATATACTATCCCATTTTTAATCTTAAACACTCAAATGTCATGATTATTTACCAGACTCAGTAGAATGGGTACAGAATACAGAAGATACGTAAATTAGACATTTAATTTAGATAGTCCATAGGAGTGAGCCACCTTGGAAGTGACTCCTCCAGCCCAAGTCAAGCCTTTAGATGCCTGCAGCTCTACCTGACACCTGACTGTAACTTCATGAGAGATTCCAAGCCAAACCACCCAGCCAAGGTACTCCCAAATTCCTGAACACAGAAACCATGAAAAAAAAAAAAGATCATTTTAAGCCTCTAAAATAACAGGATGATTTGTTATGCAGCATTTGATAACTTATACGAAGGAAGAAACATGTTGAACATTAACTTCTGAGCTTATTTAAGGACTGTGAGGCACTATGGTGCTTAAGAAAAAGAAGTCATACCTGAACTCCCCATGATAGAACTTCCGCAAGGCTTCTAGGAATTATAGAATAAACTAAGTGGCTTAATATATTTCTGCCTGGAGGCAAGAAGAGAAACCAAAGGACTTCTAAAATCTATTATTCTACGTAGAAAATTGAGAGGAGATGGCTATTAACACCCTCTGCTTACCAGTTTCAAAATCCCCATAAGCTTATAAATATTAAACCAGCTTTCTAAATGAAAATGTACTTCAGTAAACTATATAAAATATGATCACCAAAGTTAAGCAAAGAATTTCTTACCTTAATGATATTAAAACATGCTATTAAGAAGTCCTAATATACACATGCATCAACATTGAAGGCAAGCAAAATTAATTACTAAACCAATGATCTCAATTACTTATATTCAAGGAATATTTACTTAACTGAATTGGGGTCCTAGCCCTACTTCCTCAAGAGCACTTAATTTTTCATTCATTTTTCAAATGTTTATTGCCTACCAACAATGTGTAAAACTATGCTAGTGATAGAAAAATTAAAATACAAGGTCCTATACTCAAGAAGTTTAAATTCTAATGAAAGAGATTAACATCATGCAGGAACTAATATAAAAGGGTAAGTGCTGTCTGTAGAGGGAATTACAGTCAGAGCTCAGGAGAGGCACCAGTCTTGAATGAACACGAAATGCACAAGTGAATAAGTAGGGGAAGGGCACTGTAGGCAGAAGCACATACAAACGCATGAAAAGAGCCACGGCCCTATAGAGAACTTTTTCACTTACTCTACTCCTTCCAATCATGAGCTATCTTAAATACCAGAGCAAAAGCCTCCACATGTGAGCCTCCAACCAATAGTGTTAGTCATATAGTTACATTTTGTACTGAAGTACAGCCTTTAGGAAGGATCCTAGAGGAACTGCAGTAATTTTTTTAGCCTGAAGAATGTATAATGTTGTTATGTGCGGTCAAGTCATTCCAACTCATAGCAACCCTAGAGGACAGAGCAGAACTACCCGATAGAGCTTCCAAGGAGCGGCTGGTGGATTCAAACTGCCAACCTTTTGGTTAGCAGTCAAGCTCTTAACCACTGTGCCACCAGGGCTCCGGGAAGAATGTATAATGCCTGCGGGTAAATGAGGACAGATAAAGTTAGAAAAGCAGATAGGCAACAGATGGTGAAAGATGTATGTGTGTGTGTGCGCGTGCGTGCGTGCGTGTGTGTGTGTATACATATGAATTTGCAATAGAGAAATCCTAAAAGATTTTAATTGAGGAGTGGACATAATCAGATTTGAGCTTTAGAAAGAACACTAAGGCAAAGTATGAAGAAAAGGCTGGAAGGGACAAGATTGGTGTCATTTAAATATATTATAAAGGCCTGAGCTATGTTTAGCAGCAGTAAGGATAGTGAGAAATGGAGTCAAAGGGAGGATCCCTACGACCAGTGACCAATTTGATGAGGGGTAAGGAAGAAGCTATGATGCCACTCATCAAGAATGATGGGGAATGAGAGAGGAGATAAGTTTTTTTATAGACATGTTAGATTTTTATAGACATGTTAGATATATCCAAGTAGAGGCCAGTGTAGCTAGAATAGCATGAGGAAGGGAGAAAAAAAAAGGCAATAAGGACAGAGCACTCAGGGGCCAGATAATGTGGAGCCTCGTATGTCACAGGGTGACCAACTGCCCCACGACATAGAACTTTCAGGCAAACTGAGGTGCTAATCATAGTAAAAACTTAGATTTTATTCTATGTTAGATGAGGGGCCACCATAAGATTTGTAGCAGGGAAGTCACATATTATCGAACTTTTATAAAATAATCATTCTGGCTGCAATGTGGAGAAGAGACATAAGGGTAAGAGGGGATGCAAGAAGATCAGTGTTGGATATAAAGATTTTTGGAGTCACTTATATCCAAGTTAAAACCATGGGTAATAAACAGTTATCTGGAAACAGTACAAAGAGTGAATGAGAAAAAAGATGGTCCAGAGCATATGTAAAAACACCAGTATTCAAGCAGCTGACAGAAAAGTAAGATCCTTCAAAAGAGACAGAGGCAAGAAAGTAGCCAAAGAGATAGGAAGAAACAGGCGTCATAAATGGCCAAAATACAGATGCAACAAGGGAGGAGTTAGTATAAAAAATTTCCCATAAATCAACTGAGCTAAAGACTAAAATGTCCAGCAGATTCAGTAACTAGGATATCCGTGGTCTCCTGGGCAAAAGCAATGTCAATGAACTGATTGGGCAAATCCAGAAAACACTGCAAACATTTAGAAAATGATTGCGAAGTAAGGAAGAGGAGACACCAAACTTGGGGGTAAAGGGAACGAAAAAGGGTAATAGACAAGAGAGAGACACAGGGTAAAAGATTTATTAAGTTTTCTTAAAAGATGGGAGTCTCAAACAAGTTTATAGGCTAAGAGAAGGGAGAGAGAAAAAAAAGGGAATGAGTGATACAACAAGTTTTTTTTTAAAGGGGAGAAAAGTTGAGGAAGTTCTAACCTAGTGGCTTCCATTTCCTCTGTGAGATAAGAGAGGGGTTTATTGAAAGAGTAAAGATAAAGGAAGCAATGAATATACAGAAATTGAAGAGCCACACTTAAAACAGCCATCCCAAGGAATCAGGAAGATAAATAACCAGGGCCACATAGAAAGTTTTTGAGCAACTCTGAGGGTCCAGTTCTAAGCGCTGGAGACTGAAAACTGGAAGTGTCACCTAGCCCAAGTTTCTACAACCGTTTTTCCAGATGGCCTCAGCAGTGCTGATGTAGGAACAAAAAAGACAATGGTCAGACTGATCTAGGATTGGACAAAAGGATAATGATTCAAAATATTTTAAAAATTGTCAAGAAAATCAATGAAGTGAGAGAGAATTAAATGAAGAAAAGAGAGGGGATCAAAATACTGAAGTCAAAGGGAAGATTTTGTGGGAGTGAGGGAATAAAACTGCTGTTAAAGAAGGAAGTTGTGGTCAAAGTGGAATGAAGATTTTAGACATGGGGAAATTCCAGATGATTATAAAGTCCAGGTGTGGTAACAACTCTGTGTGGCTGGAAGAGAATGAGGGTAAATATCAATGAAGCTGAGGAAAGGCAAAAAAAACCAAAACAGGGTTTTGGATGGGACTATTAAGTCCATAAAGTCACCTAGAAAATCAGTGGAGGCATAACCAGCAATGCAGACGAAAGCAGTCAGGAATAATAGAAGATGGAACTTCATTAGTTCAGCACTCTTCAGGAATACCAAAGGTCCCCAATACTCACCTGAGTCAAGGGCTCAGGTCTATTCTGCCACAGATCCTCCTCCCAAACTACCTGGAAAGCTCAAATGTGAGGACTGGTCTGTCCCATGTCATAATTTTCTACCACGAATGCCAGCTAAACAAAAAATAAAAAATAAAAAAAAAACAGACCCGTTGCCGTCGAGTCAATTCCAACTCATGGCAATCCCATGCGTTACAGAGTAGAACTGCTCCATAGTGTTTTCCTGGCTGTAATCTTTATGAAAGCAGATTGCCAGGTCTTTCTTATGTGTAGCTGCTGGGTGGGTCCGAACTACCAGACTTTCAGTTAGTAAACAACTGCAAACTGTTTGCACTCAGGGACCTTCCCGATGCCAGCTAGATGCATATATATTTCTCCGGCCTGAGCTAAAAACTAGCGTTATGTCCTTGTAAAAAACTACACAGAAGAGAATTCTACTAAAAGGAGTGATCAATCCTACATGCCTAAATTTCATTACTAAAATGTTTTATATTCTAATGTTCATGGAAGCCAGGAACAGTGATGCTTCCAGTTAAGAATCATGGCATCATAGTCAACTGCCTCTAGCAACAGAGCCCAGTAATAGTCTCTAAGTTGTCAGATTTATCATAAATAGACAATATGCAAAGCAGAAATATTTTTATGTATAATATGCAAAATGAACAAACAAACCCTACATTTTTCCTTACCTTTCTGGGTCAGTGTTTACTCCAATAACTGGTTTAAGTCTATCCAAGACTTTACTTGCTGCCAGAAGCATTGTGCCATCACCTAAAAGGCGTAAGACAAAATTAACCATACTGCTGTTATAAAACTAGTTTTTTACACCATTTTGAACACTAGTACTTTTGTTTCAACAATCATCCCCACTCTGCCAATTGCTAAAGTCTACACCCTTCTTTTCCATTTACTGTTCCTTTCTATTCTCTCTTCCACTCTAATCTAATCCAGGATTTCGCGACAGTGGCAAGATTGAGATTTTAGGCCAGATAATTCTCTGTTAGGAGAGGTGTCCTGTACATCATAAGATGTGCAGTAGCATCCCTGGCCTCTAGCCATTACAAGCCAGTAGCACCATCCCCTTACCGCCCCCTAGTTGTGACAAGTTTGCTCAAGACAATGCTAAACATCCCCTGGGGTCAAAATTGCCCCCAGCGGGAACCAGTGCCCTAATCTTATCACTTCTATTAGCTAATCCTCTTTTCTTCTCCCATAACATGAGCCCAAATTCATATATTATTTTAATGAGAATACATCCAATATATACAACAAAGCGTCCAACTTCAGATATTTCTCTCCAACAGCTGCTGTCAATTTAAAGCTTTAGAAAGAGTGGTCACTAAAGCTCAGAAAAAAATAAGTATACTGGGGCCAAAGAGGGATGGAATTTATCTAAATTCACTAAACTATCAACTTTAACTTTTTTTTTTTTCAAAGACTGGCACAACTAAGCCAAAAAAGAGTTACAACTAATCCTTTGTGTCATATTTAAAGTTAAATGCACATCTCAAAATACAGAGAGAAATATACACACTGGAACCTCACAGTAACATCACTGAGTATAAAAGCAAAATGTTGTGTAAAACAGATCTGTTTTAAACCCAATCCTAGAAATCCATAAATTTGTCTTACGGGAGGACTTCATTATAACTGGAGCCCTGGTGGCACAGTGGTTAAGAGCTCAGCTGCTAACCAAAAGGTTAGCAGCTTGGATCCACCAGCTGCTCCTTGGAAACCCAATGGGGCAATTATACTCTGTGCTATAGGGTCACTGAGTTGGAATCGACTCAACGGGAGTGAGTTTGGGTTGGTCGTTATAACTAGACCCCATGGTATTTGGAAATATGCATATTAAATAGTATTTCTGTCTCTCAACATCTTTATCTCTGTAAAACTATTACCTCCTGCAGCTATCACAGCATCTGCCCATCGAACAGTCTCTTCATCATATTCTCTCCTTTTTACTAGACGAACTTCAATTCCCTCATTCCTGCGGTAAAAAAGTAAAGGTAATATAAGATTGACATCAATGACATACATTTTAGGGGTATGTTTTCTGAGATGCAGATTATTACAATGGAAAAAATAAATTTATGTTTTATAAATAAATTTATGTTTAGCTTTATGATATTATCATCATCTTTCATTTAATTATAATAGCCAAATAACTGCGATAGGTCAGGAAACATACAAATGAACTGAAAGCTACTGATTATCCACCAATCTCCATGTGCTTTAAAAACATAACCATTAACAAACAGCAATATTGATTGGTTAGAATTTCATTCCATTTTCTCTACTCCTTTTAATACTAAAATTCATTAATACAAAAATGACCCAAAACACTAACACTTGAGAATATTTTTAAAAATTATAAAACTGAATAGTCATTATTGTAAATCCAACATTCAATGAGTGCCAGACACTGAGACAGTGACTAACATGCTTTCTAATTTGCATGTTCTCACATTGTTTCTCTTCTATACACATAAATTTATTCACTGACTGTATTTAGTCCAAAATTACAATTAATTTATAAAGAAAATGTTTAGACATTCAAAGAATATTAAAATGAATACCCATACAATCCACTATTCTGTTTAAGAAATAAAACATTACACATACAGTTGAATCCTGCTGTGTACTGAATTAACTCTGTAGAAAAGGTGCTTCTTCTAGCAGACGAAATAGTAACTAAAAATACCTCTGCAATTTTCAAAGTACAATAAAAATTTCCTTAGAAATGCTTTAAAATTAGGTCCACTAACCTCAATAAAATTTTCTAAAAATGATTTTATAATGGCAATGTTCACTAAAAATCTAATGATTAGCTGCTAGTAAAAAATAAAAATTGGAAGTCCTGAATACTAAAGCCCACCCAAGACCTGAGTCCATAAAACTTACCGTAAACTATCTACAATATGCTCCACATTTCTGGTGTGAATATAATGTCGTTCAAGCAATCCACTGTAGCTAGAGCCTTTCAATGCAAGCTATATTAAAATAAAACAAATTCTGTCTTATTATACTGATATAATATATACTACATATTATAACATTACTTCTTTTAAAAGCTCTACATAAAATAGAATTATGTTGGCATTTTTTTTTAATGAAGCTACATTTTAATTACCATCTGTGAAACCTGTAAGTTCAAACTGAGCTAGAAGGCTAGATTTCAGAAAATCATAATTTGGTTTTAATACCACATACAGCTTGAGTGTTTTGTTTTCTTAATGACTTTTTAACATATTGCATATGGCTACTTGAAGACCAAAGATAAACTATTTTAAAGAAGCAGTTAGACGACCCTTGTTCCACTTGGATTCAATTTGGAATTTACCTTATTCAATCCAAAACAGGTAACTTTTAAATATAAAAACATATATCCTTTAAGAATTATTTTTCCTAGTAGACTGGAATGACATTTTATAACTATGTTACCATTAATATTCTCCTTTTAAAGCCCATATCTTCTACATAACCCATAGAGCAAAATGAATGTTGAGAAGTTCAGAAATATTCTCAACGAACATCCAGCTAGGAAATCTGCCCAATAGGGTGAATTCTAGTAGAATTCAAAAGCATGTTAGTTTCTTTCCCCCTCCAAATTGCCTTATAGCTTGCTTCTTCATGACACAAAATCAGTTTTTCAAGTACACAACCAATATATAATCTCAAATGTATCTTTTTGTCTTAAACCATTATTTGCTGAATTATGAAGTAAAACCAATTTTTAGATAAGATTTTTAATATGTATTTACCTTTTTAAAGGTTTCGAAAATAATATTAACATGGAAGATGTGTATATAAAGAAAGTAAAAATCATGTATAATCTTAGGGCCCAGAATAACTGGAGTTAATATTTCACACCTATTTTTCCAGTCTTTTGTCTATAAATATTGTATTAGGGGTTTTAAAATTGCTTTCCTCCTTATTCTTTAATATAAAGGGAAATGTATGTTTTGCAAAACAAGGAAATGACTATTATGAAAATTAATAGATGCTAACTCACAAAGACATACTAGATCAGATATTATGTGTCACAGTTTAACGCCTTGTCAAAGCCTCATTATATTTACACAGAGCAAACCAATGTCAAGAAGATTTTATTTATGTATTTAAAGGAAAGCAGTGACCAAGGTAATCAATAAGCCTTCATTTACTTTAACCAACAAATCAACATATATCAGAATAGTTGAAAAACTAAGAGTGAATTTCTGAATATGGATGAACATGGCACTAACATTCAGATTATTAACTGTCACCACCAAACTAGGGATTAACTAAACGGCACCAACCACCTCTCAATAGACATGAATCAAAATGCTTCTGGTTCTCTACTCTCTCTCGGTGATCTCTAGTTTCAAAGTTTTAACAGAAATCTATATGTTGATGGGAATCCCTGGGTGGGTGCAAACGATTAACGTGCTCACCTGCTAACCAAAAGGTTGAAGGTTCGAGGTCACCCAGAGGAGCCTCTGAAGAAAGGCCTGGCAATCTACTTCCATAAAACCAGCCATTGAAAACCCTACGGAGCACAGTTCTACTCTGATACACACAGGGTCTCTGTGAGTTGGAATCAACTCAATGGCAACTGATTTTATTTGCTGATGACTCTCGATTTTTCTTTCTAATCCTGGCCTATCTTTAGAGATCCAAATGTATTTATTCAACTGCCTATTTGACATCTCTACATGGATATCTAATAGTATCTCAAACTAACATGTTCTGTATCAAACCTGTGATTTTCTACCTCTCAGGATCACTCACTTATGGCTAAAGCCAAGTCTAGGAGACATACTTGATGTCTCACTTATTCCCACAACCATTTTACGCTTAACCACTGCACCACCAGGGTTCTATGTTTAATCCAGTCTGCTTCCGCAGAGATTTACAGCCTTGGAAACCCTGTGGGGTAGTTCTACTCTGTCCTATATGGTTGCTATGAGTCGGAATCAACTCAACAGCATTGGGTACATTTAATCCATCCAGTTCTCCTTTCTTCACCACAGAATCAAAAAAAAAAAAAAAATCCAAACTCGTTGCCGCTGAGTTGATTCCAACTCATAGCAACCCCACAGGACAGAGTAGAACTGCCCCATAGGGTTTCCAAGGAGTGGCTGGTGGATTCAAACTGCAGACCTTTTGGTTAGCAGCTGGGCTTTTAACCACTGTGCCACTAGGGCTCCGTAATCAATATAAAACGTATTACCTATTATGTTCTTTATTTAGTACTAAATCTTCAAAATCTGGGATGATTTTAACACTGACCAAAACCAAACCCATTGCTACTGAGTCGATTCTAACTCATAGAGACCCTATAGGACAGAGTAGAACTGCCCTATAGGGTTTCCAAAGAGTGGTTGGTGGATTCGAACTGCCGACAGAAACTTCCTCAGTCTTCCTTATTCATAGCTAAACCTTAGAAAATTATGATTACTGAGCAGTTCAGTGCCAGAAACTTTAGATGAGATGGTGAAGGGGGTTTGGAGAACTAACAAAAAATTTCAAGTTTTCTGTGATTTTAATAGAGGCGTTTTTGCTAGTAACACTAAAATTCCAAATCTAAAAACAAAGCTCATTTAGCATCTGAATACTTGACATTCACACAGAAATGTCATTTCATAAAATTCTTATTCCCACTAAAATTTCTTCTTCTTGTGAACAAATTCTCTAGTAACTCATGCTCAACACATTCATTTAGAGAATGTAAGTTCGCATATTAACTATTTTCTTTAGCAATCTAGCTGGCTGGAGTAGTAAGCTTCATTAACATGGACTGGCTAACCCAGGCATATAAAAGGTATTTAAAGAAAGCACTTAATATATAGCATTGATCAGAAAATCTTAAACTATTATTCAACTGGATCTATTATTTTTTAAAGTTTTTAAAGTCTTATTATTTTTTAATATTCAAAAGCTGGTAAGAATTTCTAGCCACATTCCTGAAAATAATATGACTTCAAAACCATACTTTAATCAGTCAAACACCAGAACATGTGAATTCTTGTAAGATGTCTTATAATGAAAAGGTTAGAGAAATTACTGAAATTTGGAATATATTCTCAATTCTGCAAATGCTATATAACATCAGAGTATTACCAACAATGTTTTTAATATTTTCTGTTTAAAGTTTCTGTTATTCTATTTTTTTAAAAAAAAGGTTATTAACCATTATTAACCAGGATGCCTGGAAAAAGCAGTATGAATCTAAAAGATCTACATTGCTGTTAGGTGCCGTCAAGACGTTTTCAACTCGTTAGCGACCCTATATACAACAGAATGAAACAACTGCCCGGTCCTGCGCCATCCTCACAATCCTTGCTATGCTTCAGTCCACTGTTACAGCCACTGTGTCAATCCATCTCGCTGAGGGTCCTCCTATTTTATCCTGATCCTCTACTTTACCAAGCATGATGTCCTTCTTCTCCAGGGACTGATCCCTCCTGACAACATGTCCAAAGTATGAGAAATGTAGTCTCACCATCCTTGCTTCTAAGGAGCATTCTGGTTGTACTTCTTCCACGACAGATTTGTTCGTTCTTTTGGCAGTCCATGGTATATTCAATATTCTTCAACGACACCACAATTCAAAGGCGCCAATTCTTCTTTTGTCTTCCTTATTCATCATCCAGCTTTCGAGTGCTTATGAGGCAAATGAAAACACCACGGCATGGATCAGGTGCACCTTAGTCTTCGAGGTGATGTCTTTGCTTTTCAACACTTTAAAGGGGTCTTTTGCAGCAGACGTGCCCAGTGCAATGTGTCTTTTGATTTCTTGACTGCTGGTTCCATGGGTGTAGATTATGGATCCAAGTAAAATAAAATCCTTGACAACTTCAATCTTTTCTTCATTTATCATGATGCTCATTATTGGTCCAGTTGTGAGGATTTTTGGTTTCTTTATGTTGAGGTGTAATCCATACTGAAGGCTGTGCTCTTTGATCTGCATCAGAAAGTGCTTCAAGTCTTCTTCACTTTCAGCAAGCAAGGTTGTATCATCTGCATAACTAAGGTTATTAATGAGTCTTCCTCCAATCCTGATGCCCGTTCTTCATACAGTCCAGCTTCTCAGATTATTTGCTCAGTATAGAGACTGAATAGGTATGGTGAAAGGAAACAACCCTGATGCACACCGTTCCTGACTTTAAACCATGCAGTTTCCCCTTGTTCCATTCAAACAACTGCCTCTTGATCTATGTACAGGTTTCTCATGAGAACAATTAAGTGTTCTGGTATTCCCATTCTTCGCAATGTTATCCATAATTTGTTACGATCCACACAGTCAAATGCCTTTGCATAGTCAATAAAACACAGGTAAACATCTTTCTGGTATTCTCTGCTTTCAGCCAGGATCCATCTGACATCAGAAATTGTATCCCTGGTTCCACATCCTCTTCTGAATCCAGCTTCAATTTCTGGCAGTTCCTTGTCGATGTACTGCTGCAGCTGCTTTTGGATGATCTTCAGCAAAATTTTACTCGTGTGTGACACTAATGATATTGTTAGATAACTTCCGCATTTGGTTGGATCACCTTTCTTGGGAATAAGCATAAATATGGATCTCTTCCAGTCGGTTGGCCAGGTAGCTGTCTTCCAAATTTTCTGGCATAGACAAGCGAGCCCTTCCAGCGCTGCATCCATTTGTTGAAACATCTCAATTGGTATTCCGTCAATTCCTAAAGCCTTGTTTTTCGCCAATGCCTTCAGTGTAGTTTGGACTTCTTCCTTCAGTACCATCAGTTCCTGATCATATGCTACCTCCTGAAATGGTTCAACATTGACCAATTCTTTTTTGTATAGTGACACTGTGTATTCCTTCCATCTTCCTTTGAGACTTCCCGTGTTGTTTAATATTTTCTCCGTAGAATCCTTTAATACTGCAACTTGAGGTTTGAATTTTTCTTCAGTTCTTTTAGCTTGAGAAATGCACAGTGTGTTCTTCCCTTTTGGTTTTCTATCTCCAGGTCTTTGCACATGTCATTATAAT